AAAGAGCGCATCAGCGACATGTGCAAAGGTGGGTGGCGGACGGTCATTTGGGAGCACCGTATTATTGATTTAGCTGATTCTTGACTTGATATTCTGTGATTTCTACAGAAAACAAAGAGAGTTTGTTGGTGAACTATGAAGAGCTGGCATCCAGAGAGCATGTGCTGGCGTATTTTCTGCCGGAGGCTCCTGCCGAGATGCTAAAGATCTTTGACGAAGCCGCTAAAGAGGTGGTGCTGGCAATGTACCCCAAATACGATAGAATCGCACACGAAATCCACGTCCGTATCGGCAACCTGCCGCTGGTGGAAGAACTTCGATCGCTCCGGTACGAACAACTCCACTTCTTTAGTTTTTCCTAATACATTTTAGACATGTTAATTTAAATATTAAAAATAAGATGAAATAAAAATGTAACTTATTTGCAATTTTATTTATTAACTATTGTATTTTTTTTCCAGGCAGCTTCACCTGAACCAGCTAATCCGCACCAGCGGTGTCGTGACCAGCTGCACTGGAGTTCTGCCGCAGCTCGGTATGGTGAAATACAACTGTAACAAGTGTAACTTCATCTTGGGACCCTTCTTCCAGTCCCAGAACCAGGAGGTGAAGCCGGGCTCCTGTCCCGAGTGTCAGTCACTCGGTCCGTTTGAGATCAACATGGAGAAGGTGCGTGAGGAAAACATTTCTGTGGGATTTGCAATTTAGAGTATAATGTATTTGGTTGAATCTTTAAAGAAAGCGGTGGATTTAATTATTATTTTTTTTTACTGATTTGGGAGGGGAGGGAACTAAAGACATCTATATTTATTTTATCTGATCCAAACAGAATTTAGCAAGTGGCGGTTAATCAACCTTTAATCTGGCTTATTCAATAATAAACTAATACATGTTTGAAGAAAATTCTCTTTGCGTCCTTGCTTATCTGCTTATGTAAATGTGCTCTTAGGAGACCAGCTTTTGCCATCTCATTTGTTGCCATAGCAGCAGAAAGCAGCGGTTTCTTTTTTTCTTCTGATGTTAACTAAGGTTCTTTCCTTTCACAGACTGTGTACCAGAACTACCAGCGTATCACTATTCAGGAGAGTCCTGGCAAAGTGGCGGCGGGCCGCCTGCCTCGCTCCAAAGATGCCATCCTGCTGGCCGACTTGGTGGACACTTGCAAACCTGGAGACGAGATTGTGAGTCAACAGACCCTGATGAATAAATTATTTATCAAATCCCCTTTAATGAAGAAGCTTGATCTGCACTGCATTCATCCCAGACAACAGTTTGGTGGCATCAGAAGTTCACTATTAATTTTGGACTTCAAAACCTCTATAGCCA